TGAGACGTTTGTTTTAGCGCGAATGTTGAAATTAAGTGTATCGCAAAGTTATATTCAGAAAGAATAAACCAGTTTTTTTTTAAGAAAGGACTTGTGTCGCTAAAGTTTCGTCGGAACGAATTGACGGAAAATTAACTAACGAACCGAGACGTAACAGTATGTTTATAAATAAATATATTCTTATTTCCGATAAGCGTCGGTTGTTACAATTCGTAGCTTGTAGAGATATTAGCACTTCACTTAATCAACATTTGATTGAAGATAGTAAGCTGTGAGTTTCTTGGATAGCAAGCGAATTAAACGTTGCTAAGGTTTTCTAAGCGCAACGTACTAACGATGCTGGGTTTACCCTGTTCACGTTGTTAGGCTTAACTAGATTACTAAGTTCGATGTACTAACGGCGCTAGGTTTACCCTGTTCACGTTGTTAGGCTTAACTAGATTGCTAAGTTCGATGTACTAACGGCGCTAGGTTTACCCTGTTCACGTTGTTAGGCTTAACTAGATTACTAAGTTCGATGTACTAACGATGCTGGGTTTACCCTGTTCACGTTGTTAGGCTTAACTAGATTACTAAGTTCGATGTACTAACGGCGCTAGGTTTACCCTGTTCACGTTGTTAGGCTTAACTAGATTACTAAGTTCGATGTACTAACGGTGCTAGGTTTACCCTGTTCACGTTGTTAGGCTTAACTAGATTACTAAGTTCGATGTACTAACGGCGCTAGGTTTACCCTGTTCACGTTGTTAGGCTTAGATAGCTTTGCTGAGCGTGATATACTAACATTGCTGGATAAAGCTAGTTAACGTTGCTGGGTTTACCCTGTTCACGTTTTAGGCTTAACTAGATTACTAATTCCGAACGGTGCCAGATTTAACTTGTCCACGTTGTTAGGCTTAGATAGTTTGCTGAGCGTGATATACTAATGATACTAATGTTGCTAGGTTTTTCCAGCTTCGCTAAGCGTGACGTACTAAAGTTGCTAAGTAAAGCGTGAAAATATTCATAGCTAAGTTTAAAATAAAAATGAGAACAGGAAAATCAGCTTTTACCATCATGCTTCCAGAAGTGTCCAGAATGAGAACACAACGAGGCGCTTCTCCTGATTGGACGATGTGGAACTTAGGCAGCCACTGGTCTCTTGAGCTTTGGAAACCAAAAGAACAAAGCAAACTAATTTAATAAAAATAACCAAAATATGCATACAACATAAGTAGAAAGAATCATTGCTTCCAGAAGTGTCCAGAATGAGAACACAACGAGGCGCTTCTCCTGATTGGACGATGTGGAACTTAGGAACTTTTATTAACTAATGTAATAAAAATAACCAAAATATGCATACAACATAAGTAGAAACAATCATTGTATATCCGAACTATATTTTTTATAAACAAATTATTCTTACCAAATTGTACTGCTTTCTTTTTGACACATACATTTGACACAAGTGTTATTTCTTAAGATGCTGTAGTTTGTTCAAGTTATATTTTTAAGATGCTGTAGTTTGTTCAAGTTATATTTTTAAGATGCTGTAGTTTGTTCAAGTGTTATTTCTTAAGATGCTGTAGTTTGTCCAAGTTAATTTTTAAGATGCTGTAGTTTGTTCAAGTGTTATTTCTTAAGATGCTGTAGTTTGTCCAAGTTATATTTTTAAGATGCTGTAGTTTCTTTAAGTGTTATTTCTTAAGATGCTGTAGTTTGTCCAAGTTATATTTTTAGATGCTGTAGTTTGTCCAAGTTATATTTTTAGATGCTGTAGTTTGTCCAAGTTATATTTTTAAGATGCTGTAGTTTGTTCAAGTGTTATTTCTTAAGATGCTGTAGTTTGTCCAAGTTATATTTTTAGATGCTGTAGTTTGTCCAAGTTATATTTTTAAGATGCTGTAGTTTGTCCAAGTTATATTTTTAAGATGCCGTAGTTTCTTCAAGTGTTGTTTTTTAACATGCTGTAGTTTGGTCAAGTGTTATTTCTTAAGATGCTGTAGTTTGTCCAAGTTATATTTTTAAGATGCTGTAGTTTGTCCAAGTTATATTTTTAAGATGCCGTAGTTT